CTCATTGGGAGCATTATGGAGGACATATTCAGAATTGGCAGCTCAGACGAGGATGGCTCCGATATTGAGATGATGGAGGCACCAAAAAGCTCACCTCCGCGACCACCAAGGCCTGGTTCCGGGCACATAATGATGCAGTGATGTGGATGATATATCATTTTGTGGGAACCGGTTAGGGCGATAAATCTATTTTACAAGACCTTTAAGTATATCCAAAAGCCAAAGTTTTGGGACACTGAATCGTTTCATATCAAAGCCGATTCATCCGCTAGGCAGCTGCAAATGTCCGTATCGGATCCAGGGCCTGCTCCTTGGGAACGCGCCTTGCAAGCCAGTTCAAGTTTGTCTGACTTGGTCATCGACAAAATTGAAGAAGAAGGCACCAACCAGACTCAGTGCCATCCCCACCACTTCATGGAGTTTTATTTTACCTCCACGGGTGGCACTGCCGCTACAAAGAACTGGCTTCTTCGCGCGGTGCAGTTTTGATTTGATGACTGGCTACGATTTCTTGAAGTTTGAAGATCGCGCCAGAGCACTGAGATTGTATGAGGCGCATGCACCTTTTTCCGTCATGCTATCTCCACCATGCACTATGTTCAGCAAAATGCAAAACCTAAATTTGAAAAATGCAGCCGCAGATTCGCAAACAGAGGTTTGCAGACGCCAACTGCATGCTGGATTTTGCTATGCATATTGCCGATCGGCAGCTGAAAGCCAACCGTTTCTTCTGTCATGAACATCCATCGGGCGCATCCAGTTGGCGCAGAGCATCAGTAGCCCAACTTGCAAACAAACACAATGTTTTCCTGGTTTCTTTTGACCAGTGTCGAACTGGTCTGAGGACTCCTTCCGGCTTGAAACCTATCCAAAAAAGGACGGTTCTGATGACCAACAGCCGGGAGATCCACAACATCTTTTCTCCCCTCCAGTGCAAGTGCACCGAGGAGCACGCAGTGATCCAAGGCTCCGAATCGGGTCTTCAACTCTCTTCATGGTGCCAAGTGTATGAGGATGGTTGCAAGCGGCCATTTGAATCAAGCCCACTTGCGCATAGTGATGGGCGGCGGCTGAGTAGTATGATTGGGAACATATTGGATATGACTTGGCACTCACTGGCGGCAAAAAAGCCCATTGCATCGACAGCGCCAGCGCCCGACTATCAAAGGAGTCACCATCAGACAGTCAGAAACCTTGGTTGAGTCCATTTCGCGACGATCTAGGGGGGTCATTTTTCGACCCCCCCAGTTAGCGCCGTTTCGTTTGAAACGGGACGATCTCTTGATCTAGGTTATACAAACTTGACGATCTAAGGTTTCATTTTTCGACCCCCCCAGTTAATCGCAAAATGGGTTTTTCAACATTGAGTTAGGATTCTTGCGGCTTTCCCAAAGCTTGGGCTTGGTAAGGAGACCGGGCAGTCATGTGGGACGGCATGGTGTCAGGCAAACCAACAGAAAAAGTCCAGTTAGGCAAGGCGCATTCCCCCGCGGGGTTGGTCGCCCAGACGCCATGGATGTGAAGGAAGAGACGAAGGAGGACCCAGAGAATAGCAAGAAATCAGAGCCCGAGGCTCCACAAAACGTGGCCATGAAATCATCTACTATCCTCCGGACATCAGGCCCCTCACCCACACCAGCAGCATCAATGGCAATCACTGAAGCTAACTTCAAGGAAGTCGCTTGGACAGCCATGAACTTCCACCTCGAGGCTTGTGGAGGTCCAGTGCAATATCTGAAGCGCGAACTGGGCAGCCCAGGAAACTCTAAATGGAAAGATTTCGCTGAGCAGCTTCAGCTCGCCTTTCCCAGGCGGACCGATTTGTCCTATCTGGAGAGCCTTGAATTGCCTCGGGGCCACGACCCGAGTGAGACGTTTCGGGTGTCTTTGCGGCAACTGGGCTTCGTGGAGCGCTGCAGCTCCAAGCCTATGACTTTTAGAGTCACGGCAGCGGCGCTTGCAGACGAATATTTGACGAACGCTTGTCTGACTGCACAGGAGCCTTTGCTTCTGTATCAGCAGCCCCTTGACCTGCCCTCGGAGTTCAAATACTCTGAAGAGCTTGAGGCGGGGCTTTGGTTTGGACCCACTACCTGAAAGGGGCTGCTCGTGCTACCAGCATGCTGATTCTGGCGCGCGTTTTTCTGAATGAGTTGAAAGTCGATGCGCAGCTTTTGAATCCAGGCTTGCGCCAATCCTTGCTAGCAGTGTATTGCCGACTTGGCACTGCCGCAAGCGATTCAGCAACCATCGCCATGGAGAACGCACGGTTGTCCGCCCGCGGAGCAATCCGTGAGGCCCATGACATCATCACATGGGCGGGCAAGCTGCATACCCTTAAATTGAAAGGGCTGGCTGCAAGCCGAAGTCATCAAAAAACACAATGAAAGCGCCACGAAGGACTCGGCCATCCAGGGGGCCAAAAGGATCACTCTTGGATTTACCCGAGCAGTGCCTATCCTTGTTGCTACAGCACGTATCCGAATTTGGATTTGATGGCTGCGCATTGAATGAGACCGCTTTTAGCAACAAGAAGCTCATGCCCGGCTTTCAGCCACGTGCAAACAGCGACCGAGCATGGCAGAAAAGGGTAGCGGTAACATCAGAAGGCTACGAATTGCTGGTCCGCTACGTGCATTGTTCACACGCGCGCAAACCCAGTGCAATTCGCTCCAAACTGGACACGGCTGCAATGACCGAGGCAGTGCAAATGAGTCAGCTCTTGATTTCATGCTTGCAGGAAATCCAAGACCAGCACGCTTTGCCCGAGGGAGCGAAAGACAAAATCCTACAAGACTTCGTGGATGGAGACAACAACCTGGAGATGGAATTATAAGGCGCCATTTCAGAATTGAAAAAGGGATGGCAGCCTGCTGAGCTGACACCTTTCAGAGAGCTTATCGCTACTTGCATAGCCATGCGCGATGGCAAATTGGAAGCACTGGTGAAAGGCCCCAAGATTTCCGCTGGGCAGCTTGAAAAACAGGCTTTTGAAGTGCTACTATCATCTTTGCAGCATGACGTAGACACTTATGCAGTCTGGAAGGCCAAGTGCCTGGATCGTGACTCGGCACACCAGGCGATCTGGAATACCATGAGGCGCCAGTCAGGGCTACCTCGGATTGGAGGCGCCACATGACAGCCAGACCGAGGCCCACGGCAGGTGGAGGAAAAAAAGTGGCTTAGCGCGGGGGCGGGTCAGGGACCTGGGAGGTTAAGTTTTTGTGTTCTCACAAAAAAGGAACTGCCAGAAAAGTTAGTTTTTTCATTTGGTTGGTTTTTTGGAATATGGGAGTGTTAGAAGAGTAGTTGACAAAGGACTGTCCCACAGCCATTTGGGCTGATCAAAGGAAAGGCTGGGAGAGGTTTCAAAGCCATGAAGCGGCCTGCATCTTCTCAGAAGCGGCCAGCGTCAAAGAGACCAGCTTCGAGGTTGAGGACAGACTTTTTGGGAAAGGCGGCTGAAAACTAAAGAATTAGATTAGATGGGGCTGCATTTAGATCCATGGTGCCAAGTGCAAAGGTTCATAGTGACAAACACTTGTCATTGACACACCGCAGCTCCACAATGCCCAAAGCCCTTCAGCTTGGCGATCTTTTAAGAAGACCTTGCCTTTGCTCGAATGGCCGTTGCTTTCAACAATTTCTAGATTCCGCTGAAGCAGTGTCAGTGGAAAGGGAAAGATTTGCAGCGTTAGATGAACGCCGGAAAGAAACTTAGCTACAGATAATACTTTTAAATGTTTGATTGTTGTCATATGTTGTAGTTAAATTTGATTCAGGCTTTAGTCAACATGCGATCTGCAACCAAAATTTAGGAATCCCTTCTGCGGGAATGGTACAATGTAACGGAAGAGTTTGTTGCGGCTCCTCCTGTGGCGGATCCTGGCACACTACTCCAAACTGACTCTGAAGGTGAGAACGATTTACTGTTAGAAACGGACTCAGATGAAGCAGAACCTGGCCCGGCTTCTGATCAAGAAAGTGTTGGGGAGATTCTTTATGAGACAGATTCTGACTGCGCTGGTGAAGCGCCCCTATCCAAAAGGAGAAAGTACTCTGAAAGGAAAAGGTCTGAGCCGTTGAAATTTTTGGACAAGCAGGTATGCAAGCACGCGCATGCTCGCCTTTATGGCATCGGCGCTGGTGCCCTGCAAAGGCTTCGAGAGGGTAAATCTGCTTTCTCTATGCAGCAGAACCGCTTGGAGGAACCAAAGCACAAAGTCCTGGGGGTCTCTTTGGTGCGCGATTGTTCCAACAGAAAGTGGCCCAATGTTTGGGCATTCTTTTGGTTGTTGTACATGAGCTGCGCAGAGGTTATGCCTACCAAGTTCGTGATGCCACGGCAAGGTGGATTTGAATCCCATATTTCCAGCGATCCTGACTTCCAAGAGCGGTACACTCGGGCCTTCATGGCCAATTTGGAAAGATATTCTGGGTGTGAACCAGCTTTCTGGCTGTGATTGGACAAACTTATTGTTTTGTGTTTAGTGAACCTTCCAAGAAATATATACTATAAATCATATTCCATTGTAAACTGCTGCTTTGACTCACAAACAAACTAGGCTTCACAGGGAGGGCCTGGCTCCTTTGAAGGGCCCCGGCGATTTTTGGAATGGGCCAGGCCTACTGACCTTTACTTTCAGTATGTTGCTTTTGCAGAAGCGCGGCAAGAGGCAAGTGCTGGATTCACGACATTTCGGAGAATCATGAAGCCCATCTTTGATACGCATTTGAGGTTCAGAGACAAGCTGGAACACGCACAATGCGACGTCTGCAGCAAATTGCGCGAGAGAATCAGAAAATCAGTATCCAAGCAAACAAAAGCTTCTGCCACACAAGCATACACCAAGCACTTGCTATCTCAGTGGCTGGACCGCCAACGGTACTGGATGCTACGTTCAATCTCCAGGAACTACTTTGCCAATTCTTTGTTCCTTTCCAAGCGGTCACAGGGTTCAGACATGGCTTCCAGCTTGCTCACAATCATACAGGACGGCATGGACCAGGCGAAACTGCGGGTACCTCGCTGGGGGTACAAGAGAATATCTAAGGCCATGGAGAAGGTGTTTCGACCCGCGTTGCATTTGGTTGGTACTTACACGCACGGATACAAATTGCAGCTGTCTCTGGCAGATGAAGATCAAAAAAAGAACAGTGAAACGAGCATTGAGCTGGTGTGTACAGCGTTGTGCAGTGTTCTCCAATCAGTTGGAACCGTCCCTTTGATGGTGCACCTACAGCAGGACACCACCTATAGGGAGGGAAAGAATACCTTCATGTTGACATTCATGATGCTACTTCAGGTATTGTGCTGCGTGCGCATTACAACCCTGGGCTTTCTTAGAACAGCTCATTCTCACGATGACATTGATCAATGTTTCGGCCAAATTTCAAGGCTCCTCATGGGGAAAACTTGCTCTTCAGCAGATGGAATGATTTCGATTCTTCAAGATTGCATCATGTCCAATGCCCCGAATGAAAACAGTGCTTCTGGTCGAATCAGGGGTTCTGTTGCTGAAGCATCCAAACTGGATGAAGTTTCTCTCTGGAAAGACTTTGTGGGACAAGTGGGCATCAAATTCAAAGGCCTTCGACATATTCACTATTTTCGCTTTTGCCATCGCCGGGATTTGGGTCCTGAAGTTCTTGACAACGTGCTGAATTTGGAGGAGTTCGGACGAGGTTTTGAACCAAATCCAACCGACACGTTCCTGGTCACAAAACGATGGCTCGCTGATCACACTGTTTTGCGAGCAATTTGTGTTGTACCTGAGTCTATGGCCAAAGACATTCGAACAGGATTCACACTTCCCCGTGGGACCGCTCCGAGACGAAGTATCAGTGAAAAGGTTCGCAAGAATCTCCAGGTTCAAGTGCCTAAGTGCCACAGAAAAGGTGAATTGTCCGATGAAGCTGCTCAGTATTTGCTGCAGTGGAGCTCTGGAACTTTGGCTCGTGTTCCAAAGCCGACATCTTACCCGATCCTGAACCATCGCTTCAATCCGGACTTGAGGTCTGAGATTCATCAGAACGGGCGTTGGGAACGGCCCAGAAGACTTAGGCATTATGATTTGACACCAGAAGGTGATTGTGCCAGCGATGACAGCTCTGAATCCGAGGGCGTGCTGGATCTCCCTGTAGGCTTTGAAGATTAGCTTTGCCAAAACAGGCTCAACATAAAAGAGGGACTGACTGCGCCAATTTGGTGTACTTGTTAGCTCCTCGACTATTATACTAGGTTTATTCTCATACATAGTGAATATATTATACGATAATCAAATTAGTTAGCAAACACCCTCTGCCAGGACAAATGCTGCGAACGCCAAGATCTCCTCTGATGAGTCGGAACATTCGGTGCTGCTGGGATCTGATGTTGAAGACAACACAGGAGAAGGCCGGGTCGGCCTGTTTCTTGTAATATCTTGTAATCTATGGTCCCCGCTTATTTTTAGGGCTGCATGTTATAAAGCTTTCAACTTTCAACTTTTTGAGTTTGGTTCTTCAATCAGTCAAACCAAAAATGATCCAGCCAAAATACACGAGGTGGACCACAACAAAAGACTCAGCCCTGGTTCAGGTCCAGAGCTTCTCTTGGAGTCGGAGCCAGAGTCCACGCGGGCTGAGGTTGGCCACAACGACTCTCAGAAACTTGATGCCTTGAGCGGTGAACCATGCGCTGCTTGACTTGAGTTGCAGTTTTTCTTGTTGAGGGGCCTGGGAATTCGCTTTCTGGCTGACCACTCAAGTCGTGGTGTTTATTACTAAATTATATGTTTTCATATTTTGTATTAATTGCGTTGTGCGTTCAGCTGAGATTCATGGCTTTGTGCGAGATTTCCTTCAGAACCCGATCTTTCACAAACTTCAGCGTCGACTATCTAGCCTCTTCCACCAGCGAGATTGCATCACAGTGGGCAGTCTATTCTCAGGATGGGGAGTTGCGGAGATGGTGGCAGCAACCCTGGAGTCATATGCTGCTGACTTGTTGAGGGTGGGGTCTTGCACAAAAAGCTTTTTTTCGGGGTTCAAGCTAACTTCACAACTAGTTTGATTGTCTCTTCCGAGGGATTTGTATTGATTTTAAGAAGTACATTTGAATTGCAGAGTCCTGTCTCACTGCTTGCAGGTGGATTTGAAGTTCATGTGTGAGAACGATCCACGAAAGCAGCGCTACTTGAAGAAGCGATTTCCAGACACGATACTCTTCAGCGATGCGTGCGAGGTGGCGGACCAATCATGCGCTGCAACGGCCGACTTGCAATATCAGAAAGTTCCGAAGGCTGGTGTGCTTTGACCAAAGTTTCATCCACCAAAGTTGTGCACGTTTTGAATGACCCGACAAAGTTTGTGATCTTTTTGAAGTGGGCATTGGCAGGTGGACCTTTTGATTGCTGGCTTTCCAAGACAAACAAGCATCTCAATGCTGACTATGACACCTGGCAGCGTGCTTGACAGCTCCTGCTCCTCGGGACGGGGGTTTGAGGGTGGGCGTTGCTGCTTATGCGAAGAAGTACCGTCCAAGCATAATGTTGCTGGAGAACGTGGCATCCCTTTTTTCCAAGCGCAAAGTGGAACAAGATGGGCATTCAGCGCAGCTTGCCAAAGCATTCGCGTCCAAAAAACTGTTGGTAGTCAGTTCAGGTTCCAGATTCTAGAGGATATGTCTATGGCCTAGGAAACACCAGTGGTTGCACGCCTTGCTGAAATGGAATCCCCAAGGTACGACCTTATTCGCCAAAAGCTTGAGGGATTGGGCTATGTGATCTCCGGTGAGCTGTACAACACTGCAGATTACGGCTTGCCGCAACAAAGGCGTCGAGCCTGGCTGCTGTGCATTATCAAAGCGGAGCTTGCTACTTCAGAAGAGCAGTTGGCAAATGATATGAGGCTTTTCATGAGGAGGAACGTTCCTTTGTCCGCCTGTGTTGATCTTTCTGCAAAGGTCTCCAAGAAGTCAGGGTCCAAGAAAGCCAACCTTGACCAGCGGGGTGCCAAATGGAAAGATGGATTTGATGAGATGTGTGGAATTTTTGGGAAGGCCTGGTGGCAACTGTATTGACAAAATTACGTTGAGATGATAGTACATTGAGCATTAAATTAACCTTCTTTTGGCTCAACCTATCTTCACCTCATTTGTCATGCGCTTTCCCGTTGAGGCCAAGCTCAAGAAGCGCATTCAGGAGATCCAGCCATTCGCTACCACTTGCTCTGCAAGAGAGCTTGCCATTTTGGCTGTTGCAGTGGAGGAGCTGGCACTCGATCATAAGGTGGATGCGATGAAGGAATTGACGGTCATTCAGGTGGTCTCTTGGATACTACTTGTATTTTTGTCATATTTTGGTAGTGAAGGTTATATTTGGGGATCGGGTTTGCTGGATCTTGATTCCTCTCATCAATCATGCACGATCCATGAACCCAGGATCAGAATTTTCAGCGGTCCAATTTCCCAAAGTCTGATATTTTCAGCATTTCTTGCTTGATTCCCGGTGGCAAGTACATCATCAGCGGCCCTGGACAGTTTCGACAAATGACTGCGAAGGATTTGGGATTTGAACCAAACTGAACCGACAACATTCAGGATTTAGTAATTATAAACACATGTTAAACCTAACTATTACAAGCCAAGTTTCATGTGTTGGTTAAGGGCATTCCCGGCAAATGAAACAGTGGCAGGAGTTGGCCACTCTTCAAGGGATTGGATACCCAGATTGGTATGACTATTCCATGGACAAGGAGTCAGATGCATTGATGCGTTCATTTATTGGCAATTCGTTCATGGCTTAGTAAAATGCCCTTCAACAATCAAGTCATGACTTGTTGCTCATTGATGTATTTGTTTCTGCCTCGTTCTCACCCCAATCAGGTTTTCTGTCCCAGTCAACCTGGCAGCTTTGGTCAGCGTGATTGCAAATTGGAATCCTGATGGCTCTGCGTAGTATGTTTCAGATCCAAATTCAGGATCCAGTCCTCAGCGTTTTGTGAACGCGTTGTGGTCCTGAGACCCTGGGAAATTTGACAAGCAAGCTGAAGGCCTAAGGACTAAAATCTATCATTGCACCGTTGCACTCTTTCTCCAGGTCCAACCTTAGGTTTGTGAAGGCTTTGCTGTTTCCTCAGTTGTTTTGTCAAATGAGAGTACCGCTGCAAACGGCTGCAAAAGGCTCTCGGTCAGCCCTCAGTGCCTTTTCATGTTTGGTGTAGTGGTGTGAGCAGCTACCCATGGCACCCAAGAAACGTGCTCGCACTAGCCAAAACAGCAAAACAACGGGGGCTCCAGACAACATCGCAGATGTAGCTCCTGTTCGTTTAGAGCTGAGAGATTGGGTGACGACTGTGTATCAAGGAAGGCACGGCTTTAGTGAAAGCCGAAAATGGTCAACCAGGGCGGCTCGTTCCTTGACATTGTGCAGAGGTGCTGGTCGGACTCAGATACCATCATAGAGGACAGCATGACCTTTTCAAAGAAGCTTGGTCTCATTGACTCAGATGCCACTGCGGAGCAGTTCATGGACAAGTTCTTGACGATGAAGGACTGGGCAGCGCAGCTAAAAGCCGCTCAACCAGGGCCAAAGTTTGTTGATTGATCCAAACCACCATAGTTTAAGGTGAGAGCGCCTTTCCAATTCCACCGCTGGCAATCAATGCAGGAATTCCCACCATCACATGGTTCGTTCTTTTGCAGTTCCATCCTCCAGTGGAGCTTTGCTGGGAATGCATTCTGGCGAGTCCCTGACATGAACACAGTGATGGACATTGCCAAGTCGATTGCGCTAGTGGGATGGCGTGAGGCCTGGAAACACTAGTTTTCAAGATTGAATCTTCACGGGGGGGCAGCTCGCCGCTTTGGGGTCCAAGTTTTGGGGGCTTGGGTGGAGAGCTCTTCTAGGAAGAGCTCGCCGCCCCCCTTCATCAGGTTGAAGAGATAGGACGGATTAATATTTATACATTTTTTGGGGAATTTTAGGGACTGAATTGGGAGGAAGGGAAACCTTTAGGGGCAGGAGGGGGGGGTGGAGAGCAGAAAATGCTCACCCCCTTCCCGACATCGGCCCCATATTCCAAGGTTTGCTTTGCACTATGTTGGACTACCTGACTATATGTTGAACTTACTAACCACGGTTTTTGTAAGGGAAGATGTACCAAACCCAATAGCTCTCAGCTTCCTTTGTTGCTTGTCAGGGCGAGACCATTGGGGCTCGGCTTTCTCCTGAAGCTCTTCGTGCTGACTCTCAACATGAATACCACCAGGCAGAGCTACGTTTTGAAGATGGCGGGATGCGTGGTTTAGCTGCTGGTGTGGTTTGGTGTGGGTTGGTATATCATGTCTCCACATTGCCAGAAGCACAATGGATTTGCCCTTCGGTCGTTGACTTAGCGAAGTCACTACTGAACTTGCCCACTTTCTACAAGGCTCCTGCCAGTGACATGACCTCTGCTATGATCAAGAGGATCATTCGTCAAAATGTGGACTCTAAGAAGCTTGCTGTCAGCAGTTATGAGTGGTCTGAAATCTTGGCCGCCATGCAGAAGGAGGGCGAAGCTGTTTCAGTGCAAACTGCAATGGACATGTACAACGCGAATCCTGAAGTGACTGCTCATGGTGGTTCCAGTGCCAAGGACAGCCAGATTAAATTTGAAATGTTAAACATCGTGACAGGTTCTGGATTCAAAACTAATCAGTTGTTATACACATTAAGTAGAGTTAAATCTAATCATTTGTTAATTATAATTAGTCCATTGCGACCTCAGATTCACTCGCAGGACAAGACCGGCTCAGGCAGCCTTTTTCTGGACAGCAAGAAACAATACGCAATAAAGCATTGGCTGGAGCAGACCGCTCCAGGTGCCAAGAAAGAGGTTCAGATTGCTTTGCAAGATGCGCCGTTCCAATTTGGACCGTGGGGCGAAAGCCTATCAGTGATGAAGGGCCTGTTTCTGGGATCTACTTGCTCATTGCTTTGTTCGCCAGACTCTGGCCTGGTCCCAACATCAGGCGAAGCTTCGATTCCAATTGATTGGAGCCTACCTATGAGTTCTCTGAGCCAAGAAATGATTTTCTGCAGGATCCGAACCAACTTTGAGAGATCGACTGCGATCATCCAAAATCCGAGCGACCGCAAGAAGTATAGGCAAACGGAGGAGGAACTGATGTCACTCCGGAATCTACTTTGTTTGTGGGCATCGGTCCGAGACTTTTGCAGCACGCGGCTGAAGGACTTCCATGAGTTTGACAAGTTGATCAGGACCTCCACTGCCAAGGACATCGAGCTTCGAGAGATCTTGGAAAGTCGCCCTGCAGTCTTCGCGGTGTCCATGCTTCCTTCCGCCCAGCGTCAGGCTTTGGAGGAAGCCCGCATGCAGGAGGAAGGCATCAGCCTTGATGTCGAGAAAGAGCGCTTGAAAGTCAGAGATGCTCGTTGGACCTACTTTCAGTCAGCATTGGAACGAGATCAAAAGCTGTTGATGTGCGTCAAAGAAGCGCCACAAAAGGTCGAGGCTTTGCGACACCGCAAGGCAGTTGCGTGGCGACTCCAACAGGCTCAGCTGGGAGAGAAAGTTGTCAATGCTTACCAGGACAAATTTCTTCGTTGCGACCTGGTGAACAAAGTGGAGCTTGCTCAGCAGAAGATCAATGAGTTTCGGTCCTTTGTGGTTGCTTTGAATGGTGAGCTGACTTTCTGTGGTTGTGTTCCTTTGGTGTTTCTCCCAGGATGTTACATGCATTTAGTTTTATTTTATTATATCAATTGGATGAAGTCAAACCAATTCTTTTCACCGGATAAGATTGTGGTAAGACGTGGTAAGGCTCAATCTGCTGGATGCTCGGAGTTGGATGTCTACTACATCACGGTCGTAGACCTCAATGTCCCCGGCGCCAAGTCGTCCGAACGTGTGCAAGAGCTTTGTAGCTGTCTTCAGTTCAGCAACGACCTTTGTCCTCAGCGCCATGTCGGATTGGTTGAGCTCCCTGAATATGCCAAAAAGGCCTCGAAGAGAGGCTTAGCAGATGAGGAGCAAGAACTCCAAAACACTTTGTGGAGTCTGAGGCAGACATGTGACTCCAGGTGGATCTGTCCATTTGACATTCACCCAAGTGCAGATGCGCAGACCAACCGCAGGCACTAGACAAGACACTGGGTTCAAACACAATTAATTTTAGGTTGATATTAATTTCGATTGATATTAGTATTATTTAGATTGATCGTACAGTATATTGAATTTCCATAACCTATCTGTCAAGCATAGGATGAGAAATTGTCAACATTTTGGGTGATACCTTCACAACCCTGTAGGCGCTTCAGCACAGGAAGGCTGGTGTGTAACATGGATGGAGCGGAAGACAACATCTTCTTGACATCCTCAGAACTTGGAACCGCAGGCCGCCCGCTCAGTCATGAGTGCATTACTTTGCCACTGTCCCGGGAGATCATTGTGCCAGAATCCTTGTCACCGGATGGGGACTTGAAGCAAGCGGAACGGGTTCGCCCATCTGTAGAGACATGCAGTGCCCAAAAGGGCACCAAGCGCTGGATGCAGCTCTTGCAAAGTTTGCTGACAATGGGGGGTGGTTCTCCCTTGAAGGGGAAGCCAGTTGTGGTTCTCAATTTGACCGGCTACATTGAAGACGTTGGATGTGCAGTTTCTTACTTTCACAGTTGTGTTTTATTTGATTTTGTCCTTCTGCAAAAATTGTCATTGTGTCATGTTGTTTCTCTTAGCTTCATCTTTGCAAACCTTATGTCTAAAGCGCAGGGTATACAAATATCCGCGAGCACACAAATTCAATGTTCTTCCCACAACATTTCTATTGCTTTGGGATGTGCCATCATGGCAATCTGGTGGAAAGGACCCTCATCCAAACCTTCTACTGTATCTGTTTGAGATTACACCCGGCATTATGTAATGTTACAATGAAACGATTTTATAAAAACAGCCTTTCAATGAGTGTTGGCAATCCAAGGCTTTTGAGATGCGATTGCAAGAGATGGAGCTCAAGGGTGGCTTCCGCACCAACAATCTCTACTACCAGAGCGTGTGGTGGATCAACAAAGAGAATTTTGGGCACGCGCGCCTTTCTCGAGAAATCACAGATGCCTGGATTAGCCGCCGTTTCTCTCATGGGGGTCATCAGTTCTCTGCAGAGGCTCCAGATTTGTCGCAAGCAGAGCTGGATGCAATTCCTGGAGCTACGTCCACTCATCTTGATAGCATGAAGTTTGAGGTTCTCGAGCGCACAGGTCCCGGCAATGCATTCTCCATCAAGGTTGACGAACACAAGTTCTGGTCGCAGCAAAGTGGGGAGATTGGGGAGAAGTACAATGAATTGCGAGGGCGACACCTTGAGCTCATCGGTCGCTCGAGGGCTGATGAGAGCTCTCCTGGTGAGGAGCTTCCTTCCACCGCAGTGGATTCAGAGGTCACGCCTCAGGATCCGTCAAGTGTGCAGTGTACTGAGCTGGATTCGCTGTCCAAGCTGGAAGCATCGGTCGGCATCGACTTCAAGTGTGCCAGCGAGGTATCCAACATTGAGCTGATCCTTGCAAAAGACTCCAGTCTTTGGATTCTTGCCAGCCAGGACAAAAACATCCCGAAGTTCACACTGTTAGGCGGATTTGGAAATGGGCAATGGGTAGCTCAGAGTGACAGTCAGCCTGGGATTGATTTTGCCATGCCTGATGGAGATAAAACCATCATTCAGGTGGACGAAGCTTCCTTTTCCAGCGAGGCCCAGGGCGTGAGCACCTGCTCCCTCTTCAAATTGCTTGTTCGATCAGAGCGGGAGAAGGGGTCGGTTGATCACCGGATGTCCTTCCTTGACATTTCCCGCAAGGATGATGCAGCTGTGGATCCAGGCTCCGATGGCTTCAACATCGGGATCAAGACAGCGATGAAATTTCGCTGCATGCGGGATCCCAGATCCAGCTCTGGTGAAGACCGTGTCACTGCCAAGAACCTCTTCTCGAAGTGCTTGGCTGCGGCTAGCAATTCAGATCTGATCACAAAAGTTTTCAGATTCAGGTATGAACGAGTAGGTCAGAACTGGAAAATCCAGCGCCCATATGTCATTTCTTCCAAAGGGTTTTCAGTCAAGAAAGACAAACCCTTGAAGCTCACCAAGGCCTGATGCTTAGAGCAGGATGCGGTGACAGTTTTGGATTATGCCTTAAACCACATTCTGCTTTAAAGTTTTGCTGGAACCAGCACATGTTGTTCAATGTGATAGCATTGAGCTGTCAGCTGTTTAAATACAGTTTTGTTCTTGTTGGACCTCCTGCCGACAAGTAGGCACTCATGGCCTGGACATTGGTGTGAATGAGGATTTCTAGGATGCTTCTTGCGCAAAGCCCAGCATCTCGAGTTCTGACAACTGCCATTAAATTCCTAATATTGTATAATATGTAGATCTATTTAGTTTCATTTCTTGTTGATGCTCTTCAAACACTTGTTGGGTTGCAACTCTTTTCTGGGTAGCATGCTGGGTTTTGCCCGTCCAATCTCTGAGATAGATCCTGTTTGGCATGCGTGACATGTGACTGGCGCTGGGATCAGTCGATCCACCTTCGTAGGCCAAGCAACCCTTAGAGACATGGACATTTTGCCAGAAGAGATTGAGCATTGAAAAGTGTGATTCGTTCATCGCAGCCTGAGGGGAGAAATTTGATTTGTATACAGTGACTCGTGAAGTCATATTCATTGCACAATCTTCCTCTAGACATTGTTTTCAAATCCTTTCTTGCTTGTCAGCCTTTGTTGTGAAGCTTCTAGCCTAGCTGCGCGCGCTAACATGGGCGTCCAGTATGAGGAGGTGAAGAATCTTTGGGATGGGGTGATGTTCGTCCACGGACTGTCCGAAGTCGCGCGCCTCATGGAATATGAGTACGAGAACATCCGGGAACTTTTGACCAAAGTACGAGCTGTTTGGAAGGACAACAGGGTGAACTTCACTGCCGTGATGGAAACGATTCAGACCATTACAGTTCTTCAGGGCATGACGTTCTATGCTCAAATGGGCTCTGAGTCTGAGATCTCCTCTTTCACCTGCTTCTGTGACTTGCACGAGATTGCAGAAGGTGAAGACCCTCCTTGCTCCTTGCGTGAAAAACTAGCCTCCCTCTTACCTGGGCAAAAAGAGATTGTCATGGAAGAGATGAAGTCAGCGCGCCGTGATGTGAAGAGCCTCACCTTGCATGCACAAAGCATGCCAAATCTTCAGCGCATGTTTTGCACAGTAGAAGCCCTGTTGGATGATGTAATCACAGTTGCGAAGCAAATTTAGACGCACAGAGTGACATCAGCGCCAAGTCTGAGCGCACTAGTTTGTGTGACAAAGACAGTTTTGGCATTTAGACATAACTATTTGGCTAGACAGGAAAAACAATGCCATGTGCCATTCAACGTTGCCAGCAATGATATTATTGGTCATTGTGAATGGTGGTGATGTTTCGCATTGGTAAGCATTCTAGATTTAAATTTGATTCGGATCGTCCAACAAATTGAAATGTGCAGTTTATTGGACCTCCTGCTCCTTTCTTCAGCTCAAGTTTTCTGGTGTTTGCCTTGCTTTCTCAGAAAAGCATGAGCAGCGAAATTCAGGACAGGATTTTTCGCGCCATGGCCTCTGGGACACATTCAGTTGGCCAAGCACTATCTCCTACACCAAAGCCTGCTTCTACCCCAACGACTACTCCAAATGGCCCTCGAACCCAAAGGGGAAACAATGACAGTCAACACGGAGTACTACAAGAAACACCTTCTCCATTGGAGGATGTAAAGGATGACAAACCCAAACGAGGACGAGGGCGTGGACGCGGAAAGGGGCGCGGGCGTGGGCGTGCTAGGGCTACGCAAACAAAAGGCAACCATGTTACTATTATTTCAGATAAATTGTGATGGACTGTTTGATTTGGTGTCTTTGGTGCTCAAGGTTTTGTTGTTGGACCCGGGGTGAAAAATCAATCAAGGTGATGATGATGACCAGGCAGCAGCGCAAACTAGCAACATTGAGCAGCCAGCGGAAGAACAAGAAGAAAGGCCTAAGAATGATTCTTGTGAGAGTTCTGTCAAACACCCTGATAGCAAAGCCTTCAAAAGGCCTGCTGGAAATTTTAGAAGGGGAGTTTCCAAACGCCCTGCTTGTGCAGAGAGGGTCGCAGGTGAAGGTATTCCAACACTGCCTGTGGCTACCGGGCGCCTTGAGAATGCTGACCAATCTCGGGGAACAATTTTGTGGCAAAAGGATTTTGATGATGGCTGGAAAAAAATCCAGCATCAATCGACATCTGGGAGGAAGTACTTTAAGTACGTTGGACCATATGGAAATCCCTTTTATTCACTTCCGTCCGCCAAGAGCGCTGGCTATAAAGGTGATTAGAAGTGTTGGAGAGGTTGGAGAATTGCAGGGTCAAAAAGGATTAACGCTGCCATCTCTCTGGACTTGCGCCATGCCCCACATCTGAAAAAACCAAGCCCATGAAAAAACCATCTTTTGTGGAACTGCCTTAAAATTTAAATAGAAACTAGACGACGAGTGGCCCGAAAGCATTTTTCATCACGTAGGAAATCAGAGTGCGAGTTATCCGGTAAGTGTGTAGTGAGAAGTGTTAAGTCGAGTGAGTTGAGGTAGTGTGTGGGTTTCTGTGCGTGTGTCTATGTCCGTGTGGAAACGAGTCTGCGTATGTGGTGTTCGTGGAAGTTGAGGGAGTGTGTGGGTGTTTGTGTGCGATGCAGCCTTCCAAACCCCCCACCGGCGGCCAAGCGGTGACAGCCCAGCTCATCGTTGTGAGCATTTGGGCTGCTGGTAAGGGGACAATGGCAGCCAGCGTGCTGGCTTACCCACTTCAACTATGATGGCAGCCAGCGTGCTGGCTTTGCCATCTGGACAATGGCAGCCAGCGTGCTGGCTTACCCACTTCAACTATGATGGCAGCCAGCGTGCTGGCTTACCCACTTCAATTAGGATGGTAGCCAGCGTGCTGGCTCATACCCACTGCAACTATGATGGCAGCCAGCGTGCTGGCAGCCAGCGTGCTGGCTTACCCACTTCAACTATGATGGTAGCCAGCGTGCTGGCTTTGCCATCTCAACAATGGCAGCCAGCGTGCTGGCTTACCCACTTCAACCATGATGGTAGCCAGCGTGCTGGCTTTCCATCTGGACAATGGCAGCCAGCAAGCTGGCTTCCACTGCCTGTAGTTCTCATCTTCCAGCTCCCCAGCTACTCCGCGCACTACAGTTACTACACCGTCGCCAATTCGCAGCTACTACCCACTTCTCATCTTCCAGCTCCACAGCTACTCCGCGCACTAAAGTTGTACAGTTCTCAGCTCCCAGCTCCACAGATTGCTCCGCGTACTACAGTTGTACTACAACGTCACCAGTTCTGAGCTTCCAGCTCCCCAGCTACTCCGCGTACTACA